CAAAACATAGATTTATATAGCACAGAAACAAATCAAAACACAGGTTCATTGGTTAAGAAGCACATTGATTAGAGTTAATGAAATACTTAAGGGGTGTTATGGTACACTAAAATAGTTATTAGCCCTACAGTGAAAATGTTTTATTTAAAAAAATATTTTTCAGGTACAGTTTCACACAGAGAGCGACGCAGTGGCGCAGTAGGTTGTGCTGTCGCCTCACAGCACGAAGGTCGCTGGTTCAAGCCTCGGCTGGGTCAGTTGCCGTTTCTGTGTAGAGTTTGCATGTCCTGTGTAGAGTTTGCACCAATTTACCCCATAGTGCAAAGACATGCGGTAAAGGTGAATTGGGTAGGCTAAATTGTCCATAGTGTATGAGTGTGTGTGGAGGTTTCCCAGAGATGGGTTACGGCTGGAAGGGCATCCGCTGCGTAAAAACATGTTGGATAAGTTGGCGGTTCATTTTGCTGTGGCTACCCCAGATTAATAAAGGGACTAAGCCGAAAAGAAAAAGAAAGAATGAATGAATGAATGAATGAGTTTTACACAGAAATATTTTTTTTCAGGGTTTCCTATATTTATTCTAGAGAAACTCTTATTTCTTTTTGTTTAACTTGAATAATAATAATAATAATAATAATAATAATAATAGTTAATAATTTTAAAGTTAATAGTTAATAAAGTGCTTAGGTCGATTTTTTTTCTCTTACAGACTAGAGTAAAAACTATTTTAACATTCCAGTGACTTGCTGAGGTAACCAATTTTTGCCCAGTTTATTTAAATTGCTTTCAAAAAGCTTTAAATTGCACTTTAAAGTGACCTTGCAAAATAACTAATAAAATATTATTTTATGACTAAATAAATTAATGATAAAAATAAGTTATTAGAGTTAGTTATTAAAAATATTGTTTTAAAATGTGCTAAAAAAATTGTTGGAAAAAAAATATTTCTGTTGTAAAACGAAATAAAATTTCACATGTGTCAAATGTGTTATTTCACATGTGCTGGATAAGTTGGCGGTTCATTCCGCTATGGCGACCCCGGATTAATAAAGGGTTTAAGCCAGGGGTGTCAAACGTTTGGCCCGCGGCCCGGATCAGGCCTGCAAACAGGTTTAATGCAGCCCACAACATGATTCTGTGAAATATAAAATTGAGCTGCAATTTTTCAATAAAAAGAAGCTGCTTTTCCAATTGTGACCACTGGATGGCGCAACTGCAAATGGTTAATTTCATGCGATAAAGCAGGGATTCTTAATCGGTGAGCCTCAGGCAGCGATCCTGCAGGTGGGCCATGAGAAGTAATGCTCTTTCTCCTCTTCTGTGATGGATTTCTTTAAACTCAAAAAAAAAAAAAAAAGCGTCATGATCGCATCTGCAACTAGTAGGCAACAGTCTGTTCATTTACACACTACGTGTAAAGTGGAAGTGAATGTCTCTCTTTGTGTATTTTTTTATGAACTATTCATTATATCTGCATAGTTGTCCAAATTAATGTCCTGTGAGTGTTTTATAACGGACGCGTGCCCATACAGTAGGATCTAGCGAGGCTCAATGGTGTTTCTGGTGTTCAATGGTGGCCTATGAGCTTCAGACAAGCTCTGGCAGAGCTGTTCACTGTTCCTGTCAGCGATCTCCCAATAATATCCAGCTGCAAACTCAACCGCCATTAGATCGACGCATTTCAACAGATTTAGTGTGTTTTACTGTATTTTACATTTGTCTGTATATTTCTGAAGTAGATATTTAGTAGTAAAAATTCAATCAGTTAATTTTAAAGCAGAAGCTGGAATTTTGCAATCTCCCTATTGACCTGTGGTTCTCTTTGTGTGTGTGTGTGTGTGTATATATATATATATATATATATATATATATATATATATATATATATATATATATATATATATATATATATATATATATATATATATATATATATATATATATATATATATATATATATATATATATATATATATATATATATATATAACAAATAAAGTTCCGGTCCACTTGGAAATAGATTTTTCTCCATGAGCTAAAATGAGTTTGACACCCCTGGTCTAAGCCGAAAAGAAAATGAATGAATAAATTTATGAATGATTAAATTAATTCATAAAAACTGTAAATCCCATTTACAGACATCTGGGGTTGAAACACTAATTTAGTGAATACGTTATATGCAGGATGTTTGTTCATGTTGATTTTGTTCTAGTAAACTAATAAAGTATAATATTCACTCTGTTTAATCTAAATATAGTCATCTGCCAAAACAGCACTTATTGACAAAGAGACAAATTCAACAAACAGACAATTAAAATACAGTGTGCCCTAATCATTATATTAAATTGTAATAATGTATATGACCAAGAAAATTTTATGCAATCAAAATGTTTGCTACATACATTACTATAAGCTGCCCTACTTGACTGTCAAAATATGTAGTTGCGCACTTTTGTGCCCTATTTGTGCAGAATGGCACAAATGACATTTGGTATTAGAAATACAAACTGTAGAGTTTCCTCTCTGGTGTTACATGATGTATTGTTGTGATGTTGTCTAGTGTACATTCATGCATTCGGGAAGTATGGCTTTTGCATGAATATTTGATTGAGTGGGACTTGTGCTTTTAGTACTCACAGGCTATTTTTTTGTAAAATCTCCTATTGCACCTATAAGAACCTATATACATATACAGTGTATATATATATATATATATACAGTGTATATATATATATATATATATATATATATATATATATATATATATATATATATATATATATATATTATAAGGACAAAATTAGGTGCATCAAATATTTTAGTTCAAACCACACATGAAAATTTTATAACTAACATTTTGAAACAAATGTGTACCGTTACACCCCTAATTCTTCAGATAAATTCACAGTTTTTGTATGCACATGATAAGAATTAATATGTGCTCAGCTATTACGTTCTAATATACATATTAGCATGCCCAGTAATTATAATGTGAAAATAAATCTAAAATTTGTAAAAGTTAAGGATTCTGAATTTACCATGAAAGGTAACTCATTCAGGTTATTGTTTACTTTTTTTATTTGTTGGTTTTATGTTGGTTGTTCAGCATGTGCCGAGTTTTATTGTACTGCATTGAAGAAGCTATTTTTGACCTACATGTTGCAAAATTTGTATTGACAATTGATGTAGATGGCGTGCATTATGTGTATTCTGGAGAACTGTTCAGTTGAATGTCTTTGTTCCAAACTATACCTTATTATTTGATCTGTTTATTGATATTTATCAACATGTTTATGGAGATGTGATGTTTGTGTTCAATTTGCCCAGGCAATGACTGCATTGTCTATAATGACAAAAAATAAAAAATAAAAAACAAGCTAAAAATTTTTTTTTTTTCACTAATAATGATTCTTTAGGGCAATTTGTTTTGTTGTTATTGTTTTATTTTAAAACCAGCTACTTGAACTTTTAATCATTAAAGAATGAAAAAGCAATCACTGTAATATATATATTTTTTTGCATTATTTTATTATATTATTTATTTATATATTCAGCAACTTGAACTCTCAATAATTAAAGGATCAATAAACAGTTGCTGTGTTATAACAATGTTTTAGCTTTATGTTGTGAACTTGTTATATTTACCCACTTGGTGCTATCAGTGATTTATAGGCCTACACATTTTTTTAAATGTCATAATGTTTTTTACGTGCAACCTTTTAGGCTTTGTTTACCCATGAATCAAAATCAGCCATGCTGCTGAGCTCTAGCCAATGTTTGTATCTCAGTGTCCTATAGTGCTGAAACCAGGCCATGCATTAGCCTGAGCCAAAGACGGCTTTAAGAAAAGAAAGAGGTAAGCCCTTGTGTTTCAGGCTTGTCCTTAGAGCTTTAGCCGTAAGCAGCATCAATATGATAAAGATACACCAAGGGTGAGAGCTCTTTATTCATATTTAGTAAGTTTTCTTTGGGGACTGAATACTCTAATCTCACTCTCTGTGAACTCAATAGATAGATAGATAGATAGATAGATAAGATAGATAAGATAGATAGATAGATAGATAGATAGATAGATAGATAGATAGATAGATAGATAGATAGATAGATAGATAGATGTGTGTGTATATGTGTGTATATATATATATATATATATATATATATATATATATATATATATATATATATTGTTTTTGCTTTGAGGATATTGCATACACAAGTAGGTCAAATATGTGACACAAGTAGGTCAAATATGTGACAAGACAGATGGTGGGGTTGTTTCCACTGAAAATCAAGTGTATACATATGTAATGGGGTATTGTCTTACTGAACAATAAGAACATAAACAACATGTAACGTATTAACATTAACACTTGTCTAAAACCTCAGGTAACTAATATATATTACCAATACATTGGCTAAAATCCACAATGACTGGCATGAAAATACCAACAGTAATATTTGATCTAAAAGGTGAAAAAAAAAACATTATATATGTTTATATGTCTAATTGGCATAGGTGAATTGATCATGAATATATAGTTTGTTACTACATATTTCTACATATTTTCCCACATAAAATTCTTTATCCATCATCTATATACATCCTAAAACTGAGTAAAAGAAATGTGTTCTATAAAAATGATCCAGTCACTTGCTGAACAGATGGTTTCAGAGTCTGATGAATGCATGTTGAGTGCTTAAACCACCTTAACCCTGAAGGGATCTAAAAGAGGAGAGCCAGTGGACCCTGCGGATTTGTCTTACCCGACCTTCAGATCCTAAGAGGATTGAGTATGCTTGAGTTGGTCTGTTAACATGAGCCTAATTGCTCTTATTGGAGTCTAAAAGCAATGGAAATAGCAGTGGCAGAGGCCCTTCAAGTAGAGGTGGTGCTGCTCCCAAAACAGGAGTCTTGCTTGTTTTTATAAAAAAAAGTAGATTTCTCTGATTAGGACATGCTTTTAGATGCATCCATGAGTGTGGCCTGGAGATGCAGTTTGTTTTTTTGTGTAAAATAGAAATGAAGCTCTAATCAGTCATAGTTAATGTGTCTATTAATGCTTCTTTTCTTTGAGTTTTTCTTGAATCTTCTTTGGCTCATCATATTGTATCAACCTCAATATGTCTTTGTTCTCCATGACACCCTGAATGAATTCCCCCTCTCCAATCTTATCTGTGAATACAATAGAAACTTGTGAGAAACAACAGATGCTCAATAGATGTTTATAAACATAGACATCTTGGCTAAAACAAGGCTACATTTGGACTGTCAGGCAATGCTTGGTTAATTTTTGCAGTTAAATTTAATAAATTTAATACACTTTTTAGCCCAGTGTTTGAGTTTGCTCTTATATGACCCAGCATTGGGTTACAACCAAGCAAAATGTGTAATAGTGCAATAGTCTAAAAATAGACTATATAGACTTGAGGAATGGATGATTACACGTGAAATCTGTTTAATCTGTAAATGTGATGACTAGTCTATATTTGCATTATTGTTTTTTAGTACTAGATTTTTTTACTGTCAGTCTAAATTTAAGTCTTGCTTTAGCCAAGACCTCTGTGACATCTGTATTAAACACAGAAAAAAAAAATGTTTGTCTTGTTTTTAGTCCAAATACATACAAATCATTAAACCAAGAAGCATTTTTTTTTAGACAAGCAAAACATATTGTCCTGTTTAAAGAGATTTAAGACTTGTTTTAGAGTTTTTCTCTAAAAAAAATGTAAATAATATGTCAGTGGGGTTAACAAAATAATCTCATGTCAAAAAGGAAAAACAAGATAGTTTTGCTTCCCCTATTAGCAGATTATTTTGCTTTTTTAAAGAAAAACTCACTTAATATTAGCTAATTATTACTTAAAACAAGACAATACTTTTTGCTTGTCGTGATTGAAGAATTTTTCTTTTTATATTTGAAGTTTAAACAAGACAAAACAATTCAAGAAACATGTTTTTTTGCAGTGTGATTTATGTTTAGCACATTATTACCATTATCTTGCTTTCCGAAAAAAGCCCAGATTTTGTCTGCTCGCTTTTCTGGCGTGTTCTCATCATCTGGAAGGTTTTTCTGGTCTTCAACAGGAACCATGTTGAATATCGACTGTTTCCAGTGGGAAAATCCAAAATATTACAACCACTACATTTTTAACAGGAAAACATTGAATGACATTGCTTTAACATTTTATTTTGATAGTCCCTTTTAAAGATTTTGTGGACTGAAAGTTCATGACTTCTACAACTACATGACCATTAGTAGTGTTTAGAGTATTAACAGACTGTCTGCTGACACCATAGATATTCTTCTGGCCATAAGAAAAATTTCAAGTACATGCCAATAAAGATTTGTTGCTTTTTAAGATACAATCAACAGAATGTGTTAAAAGACCATCAAAATAAAGTGAAAGCATAAAAAATATTTTTTCTCTTTAGCAGGTAGTGCAAACTATACATGAGCTTCCTGAGCCATCTGGTCACAACAATTGTAGTGCTGTCTACATACTACAACTGTAAATTCTGTTTAAAATTTGCTTACAGCATCAGTCCTTCAACCTTTCCAAAACTAATCAACTGGTGCATTGATGCCAATTATCACCAATACTTACCCGTACAATCTCCTGCACCTCATTTTTACTGATGGTCCCATTTCCATCAACATCGTACAAAGCAAAGGCCCATTCAAGTTTGCGCAGGGTCTTGCCTGAAGAGGTGAGGTGCAGTGCCACAATGTACTCCTTAAAGTCCAAAGTGCCATCAGCGTTGGTGTCAAAGCTGCGGAAGACGTGCCTAGCATATGCTGTAGGGTCAGCATCTGGGAAGAAACTTGCATAGATGCCCTCAAACTGTTCTTTGGTAATACGTCCAGAGGGACACTCTTTGAGAAAGCTGGTGTACCATGCGCAGAGCTCTTCTTCTGTGTATTTGGTGTTTAGCTTAAGGTCCTCCAGAAGCTCTTTGGACAAAGCCCCACTCTTAGTATTCCCCATATTCCTTAAATTGTACTCTGGTCCACGGGATGGATTTGCTGAGTTTCTTCCACCCTCCGCACTTGACTTCTTGTCACACACTTTTTCTTCTCTCAATGTGTCTGTCTCCAACCTGAACAACAGAATGGTGCTGTGCTGAGTGCTAGTGTTGGCCCCTCTTTGGGTTTGACTCCTCCAACAACTCCTCTAAGTGCTGAATGGGATTATGTATATCTCCATTTAAATCCAGACAGGCTTTCTGAAAGATTAGTTCATTACGTCACAACACTTCTGATGAGTGGTGCAGTATATTGATTTGCTCCTTTACAACAGGCTCTTACAAAACAAGTATGGTCCACAAAACTCTGCTCTTTACTACTGAAAGATCTGTGCCATAAAGTGAAATGCACAACACAGCTGGATGGGATTGTTTAACCTATATAAGGATCATTGATAAGACTCACCAGCTTACATGACCATCTGTTGATACTTTAATTACCCTGTGTAATTAATAGATGGCTTTGTAGGATAAATATTCTGCTAGGGGCTGTGCAATTAAGTGAAATAAATTTCAATTTCGGCCTCCAAGTATTATGGAAAAAAAAAAAAAAAACAATAACTGAGACAAAATGTGTATAGCATCATTTCCCACCCCCTTTCAAGCAGTCTGAACTTTTAGGAGCATGTTTTACATAAGTCACAAAATACTTAAATATTCAAAGTAACTTTTTCATGCATCAATCTGCAGTCTTCATAAACAAGATAGTTAAATAACCTTAATAATAATCTTCCTTGTTCATTTACAAGTAACGTTGTACTGGTGTAGGATAACACATTTCTAACATTCAAGTACATCAAGGCACATTGTTGCACCTGTAAACTTGAACAGATAGGCCTACAGTTGAAGTCAATTTAATTTGCCCTCCCATTCATTTCAAATAATGTTTCAGAATTTTTTCAGTGTTTCCTAAAAAAAATATTATTCTGGAGTTGTAATAAGTCTTATTTCTTATTACTTATTTAATAAATAAAAGCAGTTTTAATTTAAATAAAATAAGGTTAGTATTAATAGCCTCCTTAAGAAAAAATTACTGTATATTTTTGATATACACAACAAATCAATTACAAAAAATGACTAATTATTTTAACTTTTGTAGTTAACTGATTAAGTCTTCAAATTACACTTTAATCTGAATAAAAGACTATAAAATACTTAAAGGGACTTTGTCTGAATATAACTGTTTTGCAAAACAACTGGTAAAATGATATGCACTGACTGTCACTATGGGGTAGATAAAAAAGTAGATATTAGAAATTAGTTAGTTAAACTATTATGTTTAAAAATGCATTGTAAATAAATAATGTTGAAGATCGAAATCAAAAATGAATGAAGGCAAAACTAAATGAGTTGAATATGACTTACATAAACGTGACTGAAAACTACATTTGATCAATGTGTTACATCTGTTCTTTGGTACTTGCCGACTGTTTGTAAATTCAAGACTGCATTTCCTAACGTAAAACTATGTACACTAAATTTCTGCATAGTCGAGGACTTCCTATATTAAAGTGTTTAAAAACAGAAGTCTAATATCATCAACAGTGGACATTTTAATAGTGTTTCACAATATGAACATGACTGAAGTTGAATCTTTTTATTACTTGTGTCAATTTGGGGCGTCAACTTCTGATGAATGCGGGGAACAGATGCGCGCAGCACTGTCACAGAGAGAGCAAGTGCCGCGAAAGCAGAGGGAGCATGTGCCCATGGGAGCAATTGCATGTGACACCTACACTTAAAAAAATGGATTATGGCTTTAGTTGGACCAAAGACTGTAACTATGCCTCTTAATTCACTTATGTTTGTCCCCTAAAACCAAAAGTGTTGTGTTGGAAAAAGTATGTTTTTAAATTTAAACAGCTTGCTTAATTAAGATGAATGAAAGGGGGTTGTACTGCTTCTGCAGTACCACATTTTGGTCAATAGGTTAGTTGTTGTTTCAAAACAACAGGGGAAGGACAATTCAAACCACAACAATTGCTCTCGTTATATGGAAATCAAACGAGGAAGATTACAGTAAAAATTTTGAAAAATGCTGTAAACTATGTTCAATGCACTGAAAAAATATGGGTGATTTTAACAGTAAAAGTCTGTAAAGGTCACAATGAAAATCTGTTCAATAATCAGCAGTTAATTTCTGTACAAAATACAGAAAATAACTGTAGCAGGTCTAACCTTTGTTTTCAAGAATGCCATCAGAGTGTCTGAAATCTCACTATACACCCTCATTCACTAGTCACTAAATTAGTTGATTAGTTTAGTTCACTAGATAGAGTGAATGACCACAATGAGTGAATTCAGACACTAATGAACAGCTGCTGTAGACAAGCTCAGTCATTTAAGGAAAGAACAAGACATTAACACATACAGATACCTCCTCACACCAAACCAACTGAATTAAAACAGAAGGTTAAACACCTCCATTCAAAACGTGCATTAGCAGCTTTACCGATTAGAGTTTGAACACATTTCTGTCATATCTGCAGGAATATTTGATTACTGACCGAGGTTTATATTTTTCAAACATTTTTCATTTGACCACACCATCATGGAGATCAGAGGCTGCTTTTGCTGTGCTCTTGATCCTGTGTTCTCTTCTTATTGTTTCTTTGGCTGTTATAACTGTGTGTCTGAAACTCGTCAGTTATAGAAAGGCAATGAGAAAATATGCTATACTAACTTGTTGCAGATCTAATTTCTGAAATTTAGTAAGTTTAAAATATAAAGCATAAAAAAGAATTGTGAATTTATATCAATGCTGTTTGAGATAATACTGTTGGCTTTTCATTAGTGTGATAAAAATAATAATTATTAGAGTGTTATGCGCAAATCCTTAAGCTCTAACAATAGCTTAAGACACACAGACATGACGAATCAGGATATGAACCTCAACTATGGTTGTTAAAGGAAAAAAAGTGTCACATTAGGCGTGATCAAAACAATAACGGGAACAAAAGATAGCGGATTCAAGTGCAGATTTTAAATATATTAAAGTGCAAAAACAGTGAACAAATCCAAAATATCAAAGTGCAAAGTAACAAATAAACAACAAAACAAGAAACTAAGACAGATAAACATGAACTAGACTAAAGCAAGATACGAGGCAAGATCAGGAACGACAACTCGGAAAAACAGACTTACTGGGTACAAGAAAGACAAACGACACAATGACAAACAGTGGTTGAATGACTGAATAAATAGTCCTGGTAATCACGGAGAATGGAGACAGCTGTGGTTGTAAATCAGTGTAGATGACAGACCGGGTGTGTGCGCGAAAGAATGTATGGAAATGTAGTCTTTCCTGGGACGCTGTAGTGCCTACTGAGTCCTGGTGCACCACAGCGCCCTCAGGTGGTCACTGACGGATGTGACAAAAAGTTATTTTTTTGTTAAAAAAAGTGTTATTTTTTGTTTGTCACCATTGTTAAGATTCAAAGACTAATTGTTGATGTCTGTGCGTTTTTAAGTTCTGCCATAGAACAATTATTCTCATTGTGAAAGTATTTAGGGTTGCAGTTCCAGTTACATACATTTCTTTGAATAAGCTACAAGATATTTTACAATAAGACAAGCAGGTGAGGGAGGTTTCATCATCATAGTTAATTTCATCAGACTGATTCTTATTTATATATATTTTTTGGCTTTTCATACTATGCAGATAGATTGTGTTGAAAACAATTAATTAAAGCAAACAAATTTAAATTAATGTTAAAACAGGCAGCTGATGAGCCCAACTAAAGCAGACGCTTACCTACATCATGGTGACTTCAAATGAACAACATAAAGAGCTTTTGTCCACATTACAGAAATAAAGTCAGAGCTCAGTAATGAATGAAGCTCCTGATGTTAGTGAACTTGTTTATTGATCCCTGCTGAGATCTTCAGAAAGAACATTTTTATTATTTATTTATTTTGATTATTATTATTATATTTTTTTAGAGTTTTATTTTCAGTTGAGTTCATCTTTGGTTTTGGCTGTAATTTGTGTTTTTTCTTTCCTTCAGTGATTCTGTTTGTTTACAGTTGTTCATCAATTGATCCTTTAATTAGACACTTAATAATCTGATTAACTTCATCACTGCCTGAGTGTTCAACCCTCTGTAGTAAGGACACTAGTGAGGAGTTTGCTCTGGGATTTAAGGGGTTAAATGTGTTTGATAAAAAATACAGACTGTGGAATGTATTAGATGTAAATGTATATGGATTTACAAATGTACAGTAGATTACTGGCAAAAGCTGCTGGTATTTTTCCATAAATTTAACAGATTTTTTAACAGTGTAAATAAAGCTATTATTATATAATTATAAATGTTATGTTGATTGAACTAAACAACATTACCTTTATGCAACTAACTTAAGTTCACTCAAATAAATATTCTTACTTTAAGGTAACTTAAAGGGCCATGACACCCCCCACTTTCGGTTAAAGTCTACTTTAGAATTTTTTCAAAAGATGCATGATTAATGGGTGTGGAGCTCCGCGAGCATAGGGCAGGAGTGGGCGTGGCCAGCAGGAAAGAAGGGGAGCGAACAACTGTTGTTGGCAGTTAGCTCACAAATTGAGACAAACCGTGAGGAGACGCATGAGTTTATAGTTTACAAAATGCAAAGAAATAAACAGTAATTTAATGCCCTGCTACATTTGTTATTCGTAATTTCATATACAGACAACCACAATTTATATCATTATAAAGATAATCGTGTTCATATAAACAATATAAATGAGGACTTCTCCCTCAATCCCTGAGTCTGAATCACAGATCTAAATGCAGACTCAGTTTAGCAGGTCTCCTGACCTGTCTATTTTAACCATTAGTCTTGCTGGTAAAATGGAGGATTTAGGCAACACAGCAGCACGGCGATGTGTCTGAATGTGAATGAACTCCTGATACAAGACAACATCCGCCATTCTCCAATTTTCGTGCTCTCCCGACAAAAATGCTTGCATCACACACACAGCTTTGCTGTATGATCGGCCCTGACAGGATCGTGGGGAAAAACATGCAACAAACCCCGTGGATCATGGAAACAAACACATACGAGCCTTCATGAAGGGCTACTGTGTGCCCGTGGGTCCGTGTATCACAGCTTGAGCTTGGCACTGGTCTGGTCTGGCAGGTCTGCCTTGCCTT